ATTTCTCAGACCCAGGAACCTGATGACTATCAGGCAACATCTGAACTTTAGTTGCAAATGGGTGTGGAGTCATGTTTGCACTGTCGTGCAAACTTTCCTGAAAGTATGCTAAAGACATTTAGGAAGCAAATTAACTGAGGCAGTCTGCCAGTTAATGCAATCTCTCAACAGCTGAGGTAAAGATATTAGAAAAGAGTGGTCATCTTTAAAGGCGTTGGACAGTAAAACTGTCCTTCTTAATCTGGGTAGAAGAGCATGAGTATGCTGGAGGAAAAGCCCCAGCAGCAGAAGTGGTGTTACTTAATATCCAGGATTTTTGGGTTCATCATCAGGACTCAGTGTGATCATAGATACGGATAAAATTGTTAGCAGCTAAAATAATTAGCAGTTACCAGTGTTTTTTTGGTACTAGGCAGGAGTTATTTAAGAAAATAAAGTGTCCGTGCAGCAATTTGTCAATTGGCACTTTGCCCCCGCTTCTCAAGAATTTTGTAAGAAAAGAAATTGTAACAAATAATTGGGAACAATGATTACAGATTTTTTCCCTATTCTCTGCTCTAATGTAGACATTCACTATATTTATAGAATAATGATTGTTAGAAATTAAGATCTAGAGCAAATTAAGTCATTGAGTCTATACATCTTAGTCAAGCCATTTAAATTCACTTCTTTGATTTATCCATCTGTTAAAGAAAGGCAATATTTACTTACATAACTCAGGAGTACTCTGAGTGATAATTAATGCTTATAAGCAATAGTATGATTAAAATGAAGAGCTATGCACTTCCAAAGGATTATTAATTTTATTATGATCATTATTACTGTACTGAGCTATTTTAAATTGCCAAGAGATAGCCAATTACTGTGGATTTTCTTGAGATGACTTTGTAAGGTATTAAAAGGAGAGTGTTATACTGCAGAAAACTCATAATGAAGTCATAAAAGTGAGATTACATCCTATGCCTTAAAATGGTATTGACCATCCTGGAATCAAAAAAATCAAAATAATTAATAAATGCTAAGTAACAAAAAAAATGTACTAATCTGCCTTTTCACTTGTAGCTACAGTGACTCATTTACCACTTGATGAAAATTCCCCAACTCCGTCTCAATGATTTTCAAGTCACATGCCAGAAATGTCTGTAATTTCAGGAAAAAGGTTGTGGCCAATGATTATGAGCAACTGGGCTTCTCCAGTTTAACGAGGGCTTGCTTATCATCTGAGCTGCTGAACCTGATAGTGTGGGAGCTCCCACCGCCACGTACGTGAACACAGGTCAGCTCCTGTGGCCCAGCAGGTGATGAGCCTCTTGCTAAGCTGTGTTCATCCCATGGCTGCGACCAGGCACCCATACGCCAGAGTGGGACCAACTGCGGCATGGCTGGACCCAGAGATGCCTGGCCCTAACGCTTCCAGCTCCGGGATCTTATCCTCTCCATTATAGGATACCTCCCTCAGCTAAATCAATCTGCCTGCACGACTGTTCTCTGAAGTACCCTGTGAAATGAATCCAATTAAAAATGGCACTAACACCACCATTTTGGGAAAGATTTTTTTTTTTTTTAAAATAGGTCATTTATAAAGCTGGTTTAGAATATGGCTGTACCTCGAGATTGTCCCCATGAAGATTTCAAATAGCTTTGTTAATATCCACTTAAAGTGGTTATTTGGATTAATATTCTTGAGTTTCCCATGAACATAAACTGAATTATACTGTGAAGAAAATTAATTTATTTCCACTGGCAGCAAGGAATAATTTCTTATGCATAATTTCTGCCTCTTGTTTGACTGGCTTTCTAGACATTCCAATTTAGGTTCTTGATGAGATGAGAATAAAAGATTTCCCTATCTGAAAGATTAATTACAGAACAGAGACTGTCTATGAAGAAAAATGTTATTCCTCACCCTTTACTGAGGCTGAGAGAAAGTAATTAGTTAGGAGCCTAATCAAACCCTGAGTAGGATCTGTAGGGAAGGTTAAACCACCTCTGCCCTTGCCAATGCCCTGCTGTTCTGGGTGTTGGCAAGAGCTCTGGTTTAACTGAAACAATCCAGGAACCCGACAAGACATTGTCCCTGTGACAGCAAGCTCTGAAGTATTGGAAAGCATGTCCTAGAGGGACATGGGACTTCACAACAGCTGACAAAATTGTTCTATAAAGCTGCAAGCATAGCAGTGCCATGCAGGAAGAAATGGCCCTGTGGACTCAACAAGCTGGTGACTCTCACAGAGGGCTCAACTAATGCAAAGAGTGAGTTTTTTCCACTTCACCTGGGATATGCTTTGTTGGGATATGAAGCCAACGCCAACAATGCTGTGAGTATTTCAGTGTTGACAGTCTGGAGAAATGGGATGACAGGAACCTCATGAATTTCAACAAGAAGTGCAAAGCCCTGCACCTGATACATGCTGGGGGCCATCCAGATGGAAAGTAGTTTGGCAAAAAGGGATCTGGGGGTCTTAGTGGACACCAGGTTGAACATGAGCCATCAACATGCCCTTGCCACAAACAAGACAAACGGTATCCTGGTCTGCATTAGGAAAAGTATTGTCAGCAGATTGAGGAGGTGATCCTTCCACTTTAATCACTGTTGGTGAAGCCACATATGGAGTACTGTGTCCAGTGCTTAGTTCCTTGGTACAAGAGAGACATGGACATACCAGAGAGAGTCCAGCAAAGGGCCACAAAGATCTGGAGCATCTCTCCTACAAGGAAAGGCTGAGAGAGTGTGTGGGTTTCTGTGGCGCTGTTTTTTTGGTAGCAGGGGAGGGGGCTACAGCAGTGTCTCCTATGAGAAGCTTCTTGAAAGCTCCCCCGGCCCCAAGTTGGACCGGCCTCTGACCAGGGCTGAGCCAATCAGCTGCACCTCTGCGATAATGTGTTTAAGAAGGGGAACCTGAGAGGGGGTTGGGACTTTTGAGAGGACTTCTGAGAAGGATGAACACTGAGGTCGGTGGAAGGAAGGAGAAGGATGCGAGGGAGGTGTGCTGGAGCAGAGACCCCTGTATCCTGTGGTGAGATGGCAGGGCGGCCCCCCTGCCACACAGGGAGGTCTGCAGTGGTGTGGAAGCCAACGTGAAACTTGTGGAGAAGCCCACACCAGGCCAGGCATCTGCACTTAAAGGAAGCCGGGACCCCAAGGGGAGAAGCAGCCCCCGCTGTTGTGGTTCCGTGCTGGGAAGACTGCAACACGCAGGGGTGACCCACGCCAGAGCAGTGTGGGAATGGCTGCGGCCCGTGGGGAGGGCTCACGCCAGAGTAGGTTCATGGAGGACTGTCTGCAGTGAGAAGGGAGCCCCATGGAGCAGGGGAGGAATTGCGGCATTCACCCCAACTCCTGAGAGGGAAGGAGCGGTGAGCTGACTGTGACCCCCATCCCCTGCCCCCTGTGCAGCTGGGGGAGGAGGTAGAGAGATCGGGAGCAGAGCTGAGCCCGGAGAAGAAGAGAGGGATGGGGGGAGGTGGTTTCGGATGTGGTTGGCACTTATTGTCCCCACCTTGTCTGTTGTGTTGTCATGTTAGCATTTGAATAAAGTGGTCTTCTTTTCTTCCCCTAATGAGTCTGTGTTCTGCTTGTAACCATAATGGGTGAGTGACTCCTCCCAGTTCTTAGATGGATTTCTTGAGGTGATTCCTGTTCCTATATTCTCCCCCCATCTCTGAGATGGGGGAGGGAGTGAGTGAGTGGCTGGATGGTGTTTTGTCGTCAGCTGAGCCTAAACCACGACAGAGAGCTTGGACTGTTCATCCTGTACAGGAAAAGGCTCAGGGGGATCTTATCAATGTGTATAAATACCTGAAGGGGTATTTGCACCTGAAGGGTGCAAGGAGGATAGTGCCAGGCTCTTTCCAGTGGTGCCCAGTGACAGAAACAGAGGCAATGGACACAAACTGAAATGCAGGAGGATCCCCTCTGAAGATCATGAAACACCTCTTCACTATGAGGGTGACGGAGCACAGGCACAGGTTGCCCACAGAGATTGTAGAATCATAGAATCATATTGTATCTCAAGTTGGAAGGGACCCATAAGGATCATCGAGTCCAACTCCCTGCTCTTCGCAGGATTACCTAAAACTAAACCACATGACAAAGAGTGTCAATGAGATGCTCCTTGAACTCCTACAGGGTTGGTGCTGTGACTGCTTCCCTGGGGAGCCTGTTCTAGTGACCAACCACCTTCTCAGTGAACTTTTTCCTGATGTCCAGTCTGAACTTCTCCTGATGTAGCTTCATCCCATTTCCTCGTGTCCTATCACTGGTCACTAGAGAGAAGACTCCATCCTTGGAGATATTCAAAAGCCATCCAGACATGGTTCTGGGCAACTTGGTCTAGATGACCCTGCTCGAGCAGGGAGATCAGACAAGATGACTTCCAGAGGTTCCTTCTAACTGTCCTGTGATTCTGTGACTTACGATGTTGTTGAATGCCTGGCCTACTAGTTCATGTTAAAAAACCCATCTGCAACAGGATGGATGTATGTAATATTGTGTGGTGGACTTCACTGTATCATGTCTTTTTACCCATTTTTGTCCTTTCACTCAGCCTTTCTCTTCCTCCAGGGGAGCCTGCCTATCGAAGCATTCAGCCAAATCCTTACTCAAACACTCTTCCCACAAGGAACCATCTTTGCCCACTGCCCAGTGAGGAACCTTGTCCTTGGAGCAAGACAGGACACCAGCACGCACACAAGGGAGCTTCCCGGCATTCCCTGAGCGCAGGGATCACCAACCGGGACGCCCCCCGGGCGGTGGGTGAAACGGGGCTCGGTGGCGCGCTGGGGCTCCCCACGGGTGCCCTCCGGCCGCGCAGGGTCCCGCCCGGGCCGGTGCCCCTCCCCGGCCAGGGTCCCCCGTCCCGACGCCCTCCCAATGGCCGCCTCCGCCGCGCAGGGGGCGGGGCTTGGCCGGCGCGACGTGTTTCAAACGGGCCAACCGCCAGGCGCGGAGGGAGGGCGGGCCGGCGCGCAGTCCCCGCCTGGGTATTTAAAGCGCCATTTTGTAGCGGGCGGCCGGAGATCGATCGTCGCCCCGCCGCTGGGTTAGCGTGGCACGGCGGCGGCCGGCGCCTCTCCGCCGCGTCTCTCTTTCTGCCCCTATGACCCGCAGTAGGAAGCAGGCGGCGGTGGAGAGGGCAGCCGGGGAGATGAACCCAGAGGCGGGGAGCGCGGCGTCCGCGGGAGCCCGGGAGGCGACGGGGGCAGCCGGCGGCGAAGCAGCGCCCGCCGCCTGGGGGCTGGAAGGGGAGGCGGAGAAAGTTGTGTACTCGCGCTCGCAGGTCTCCTTCGCCGGCACCAAGGCGCTGGGAGACGCCCTCAAGCTCTTCATGCCCAAGTCCACGGAGTTCATGAGCTCCGACTCGGAGCTGTGGAACTTCCTCTGCAGCCTCAAGCACGAGTTCTCCCCGGTCATCCTCCGCAGCAAGGACGTCTACGGATACGCCTCCTGCCGCGCCGTCGTCCCCGACCCGCTGCCGCCCTCGGCGGAGCGGCCCCGCCACCGCGCCGGCAAGCGGCGCCTCCCCGCCGCCAACAAGCGCCGGGCCAGGGCGGCGGGCGGCAGCGCCAAGCGGCGGCGGCGGCGCCGGAGGGGACGGGAGAGGCAGCGACCGGCGGCCGACAGCTCCCGCGTCGGGAGGGAGGCGGAGGGGGCGGCGGGGCCGCCGGGCGAGGAGGCAGGCAACGAGCGGGGCATCTCGGCGGAGGGGCCCGCCTTGGAGGCTTTCGGCGGCAGGTCGCTGGAGGAGATCTGGAAGGCGGCCACCCCCCGCCTCACCACCTTCCCCACCATCCGGGTGCGGGGCAGCGTCTGGAGCCGGGGGAGCTTGGCGGCCGCGCGGCGCCGAGCGCAGCGAATCCTCGGCGTGGACCTGTCGCCCGTGGTGCGGGTGCGCCGCTTCCCCGTGGCGCCGTCCTGAGGCTGCGGGGGGCGGGGAGGGTGGTGTGGGGATGGAAAGGCTGGCGCCTCGCCTTCGCCGCGGTGCGGACAAAGAGACCGGTATCAGTCACCTGTTTACATTGCTTTTGTCTGGATCGTGTTCTGCTGCTGCACTTTACAGCTCGCTCGGGCGGGGGCCGGGCGGGGGGCGGCCTGCTGGGCTCCGCGCAGCCGGGGCCCCCGGCTGGGCCCCGTCCCGCCTGGCAGGTATCGCGCGTGGGGACAAAGTTCCACTTTTTTCTCTCCCATTGGACTACCTCACTGGTCCAGAAGTCCACCCAAGAAGTTATTTTCCAAAGGAACTTACTTTCATGCTTGTATATTAAAGCACCATCTGATTCTTGCTATTTTTTCTTTTTTTCTTCCCACCTTTTCCGATGGATTATGTATGCTTTGTGGTGTTGCACTAGTATGTGCTCAGGGTATTTTTGAATCCCAAGCATTCCCAAGTTTCAGTTTACTCTGATCAAGGATGCGTAAGGAATGGAGGTTCAGGACGTGGCTGTTCTTGATGGTGCAAAAACTCTTCTTTTTAAATTTCATGGTCTTAGTGATATATAAAGATGTATCGCGCAGTATAATTGTTACACTTTTGTATCTAAAGTCATTTTTAAAGTTTTCTATTTGAACTAAGTATTTGTTTCTATTGAGCACCTAAAGATAGAATCATCCTGATATTTTATAACCCTGTTTACTTTAGGGAAGCTCATTTTGTCAACCTAAATGAACTTAATAAAAGTCAAAGAACAAGTGGTGGTTCAGTTCAGTAAAACTGCACAGGGATGGGTTCCTTGCTGACATACGCTGCCTGTGAGCTTAACGTAAACAGGCTTGGAGTTTGTGAAGAATGTAACTGCTCATCAAAGTAATGTATAGGTATCTGAAGGTGAACTATGATGACAGTGTTGGCCCCGACAGCTGAAAGTCAGTAGCTCGCGTGACTCAAATATAACACAAAAGTGCCTCTCCGCAAAAAGAGCGAGACATGATACCTGATCGCTTCATAATGAAATAGCGCTGGTTGTCATCCCAGGCTTGTGAGATGATTAATGATGGAAAATCGTATTTAACATAATTGCTTGCATGTAATTATTTTTATAAACCTCTCCTGGGTTTCACAGTAGACTGATGCAAAATTCATGATGTAGCTTGATTATTTTGACTGAAAAATACCATGTTGTCACTCTATGTGATAGGCAGTTTGTCTTTAAACTCATTTACAAAGGGCTTTCTTTAGGTCTTACGCTTTGCAGTTGGTGTGTGAGGAGCGAAAAGTGTGTGTGTGAGAATGTGATTATTTTATTTATTTATTTATTTATTAGGCTTGGGAGAGGAATAAGAAGTGCTTGGTAGTAGACAGTTTATGTCTCTAGTATCCCAGAAAATGAGACTTAACTTACCGGTTTCTGTGGTGAAGTGAATAATTTCACAACTTGTTTGTGGAATGGTTTGGTTTTCTGCTGGCTGTTGACTCCTTGTTGCTTGCTGTCTACAAAGGCAGTAAGACGGCTTGATGTGTAGAGCTGCTTGTGAAAACTTGCTAGTGCTAACTTAAAGCAGCCAGCTGTCTCTATAACCTGTTTATATTTTGTAGTTCTTACAAGCAAAGTTGTTGTTTTTCCAAACTAACAATCTATTCTGTATCCATCAGGCTTTTGAAATTGTTTACGTAATGTTAGACTGCCTGCTGATCACTGCAGTAGTGCCATGTCACATTTCAGAAGTGAATTAGGAAATTAAAGTTCAAGGGTGCATATTGGTGTGCTGTTTGTCTGACTATCATACCTGTTTAAATGTAAAGGCAAAATTGTGTTGATTTAAAACCCAATAAGACAAGCTGCAGTGTGACCAAATGCTGAGGCACCAAGTATTTAATTTTTGACATTCCACTTTAGAAATGCAAATTAAGAGTATTGTTATTAGTTCTCGAAATGTCTAGTTGACTTCAGTGTGCCAACTGCTAGGTTGAATTATTTTTTTAATGTTCTTCTGAAAGTTCCGTGTATAAAGATGATAAAATGTAAGCAGTTGTCTTGTGCAGATTCTTCATTTAACTCGTAAACAGGTTCAGGGCAGGATAGATCAAATTTCAAGGGCAGAGTTAAGGCTGCCAGAGGCATAGTATGTTGCCTTGTTTGGAGGCTTATCCTGAAATGTTATATTGGGTACAGTACAGTGAAGTAACTTTAACTCTGTTGAGTGACTCCTGTTGTGTGGGTTGTATGCATAAGGCTTGCTTATTTTTCTCTTGGTTGTGTTTTGTCTTGGTTTTGAAGTGGAAGCTTTCTTGGGGGTATAGTACGCTTTGCTGATAACCTGTTAGCGAGTTGGATTAAAGTTTCGCTGTAGTCTAAACTGCATGTACAGATTCTTAACCCAGGTATTTAAATCTGTGAAGTCAGTTAAGAGGGGGGGAAATCTTCAGTCAGGCTTTCTGGCAAATTAATGTGCTGAAATAGCTCAGCAAAGGATCTGAGTACAGGATGGGGTGTGAAAGCTGACAGTTTACAGGGAAGCTAAACCAGCTAATTTCATGATTCTGTTCATGGTAGCTTGTGGCAATCCAGGGTAGGATTTGTCTGTGGTCCAGCTTTCCCTTTTCCCTCTCAAAGCTGCAGCTCCTACATATCTCTCTTGTCTTTGTGCTCATCTGAAGAAGCTAAGAAGTCAGAAAATTATTAAATTTTAGGTTTGGGCAGGTTGATACCTGTTGGCTTTTGTTTGACCTTCTAGCTGTAGACCAGAGCTGAGAAAGTTTGGAAAGGGGTGTGCAAAACTCATGCAATATTGAGTTGAATATCTTCAAGCATGGAAGCCTGAAGTTTTATTTTATGTAGAGGGCTAATAATCATAGAATCATAGAATGGTTTGGGTTGGAAGGGATCTTAAACATAACCTAGTTGTGACCCCCCTGCAGTGGGCAGGGACACCTTCCACTAGATCAGGTTGCTTAAAGCCCCGTCCAACCTGGCCTTTAACCCTTTCAGGGAGGGGGCAGCCACAGCTTCTCTGGGCAACCTGTGTCAGTGCCTTACCACCCTCACAGTAAAGAATTTCTTCCTCATATCTAATCTAAATCTGCCCTCTCTCAGTTTAAAGCTGTTACCTCTCATCCTACCCCTACACTCCCTGATAAAGAGTCTTTCCCCACCTTTCCTGTAGCCCCCTTTAAGTACCAGAAGGCCGCTATAAGATCTCCCTGGAGCCTTCTTCAGGCTGAATGACCCCAACTCTCTCAGCCTGTCCTCACAGGGGAGATGCTTCAGCCCTCTGATCATCTTTGTGGCTTCCTCTGGACCCTCTCGAGCAGGCCAGTGTCCTTATGTTGGGGGTCCCACACAGCGCTGCAGGTGGAGTCTCACGAGAGCAGAGGGGGAGGATCCCCTCTGTCGACCTGCTGGCCACACTTCTCTTGATGCAGCCCAGGACACGGTTGGCTTTTTGGGATGCGAGTGCACGTTGCTGGCTCATAGTCAGTTTTCCATCCACTAATACCCCCAGGTCCTTCTTGGTGCTGCTCTCAATCCACTTATTGCCCAGACTGTATTTGTGCTTGGGATTGCCCCAACCCATGTGCAGGACCTTGGTCTTGGCCTTGTTGAACTCTGTGAGGTTTGCATGGACCCATCTCTCAAGCCTGTCCAGGTCCCTCTGGATGGCATCCCTTCCCTCCAGTGTGACCGCACCACACAGCTTGGTGTTGCTGACAAACTTGCTGAGGGTGCAATTTTGTTATTGTACTCTACCTATATGTATGCTGTTGGAGAAAGTTTAATGGAATAGATGGGCTTCTGGTCTGACTCTGGCACACACTGAGCAGTGTGAGAGGTGTGATTTGCCTGACTTAACTCAGTGGTTTCAGCATCTCGTCATATGGGTCTGCTTCTGAGACTGACAAAATGAAGGCCCAGAATAAATCCGGTGTACAATGCCCGGTATGGTTCAGTCAGCATAGATGGTTTCATAGTAAATATGAATCATGTGGTAGCCTCTGTTGCCAGACTTGTCTTGCAGTAGCTAGTTTCCTCCCATATGAGCTCCCTTCATACAATTAATTTGTGTACTGGATGTTGTGCTATTTCATTCACCAAATCTGAATTTCCATCCAGTCAACTGAGGGTTACTGAACTTCAGAATGCCACAATGACAGGAGTACCAAAAAGAGAAGCATGATAGACATCAAGGAGGGAGTAGAGATGACCATTGTGTCTAACATCTTGCCTAGTGTAGGCTTTAAATTCAAGAGGCAGCACCTTCATCTAAGTCATTGTACAAATACATTGTTTAGGATTGAAGCTCATAAAAGGAGAAAGCAGTGCCTTGCAAAAATTTTCCTGAACTCTAATGTTGCATAGACGTTTTCACATCAAAAGGATCAAAGGGTATAACGGATCCTTGAAACCATCTGTTGCTAGTCTGTAAACAGCAAATCCTGTATATGCCCAAACCTCATGCAGAACTTCATGGTATATGTTTGTAAAATTTAGACTTGTAGTACTTGGATTTTGCTCTGAATGGGTAAGGGATGTTGTATGTATCTATATTTCCTTGCCAATCAGAAGCAAAGCTCAGAGTGAATCCAGTTTGTAGATTACAACTTTGATTCCAAATAATTTTTCACTTACTGCATCCTCAGCAAGTCAGAGTCCTGGGCTCTTCATGCTATTTAAAACAGTTGACTTACGCTAACTTACGATGGATCAGTGAATGCACAAGAAACCAGTAGTACTGAAAGCATCTCTATTTCCTTTTGACCCGATGGACTGAAACAAATTTTTTCTGATTTGTATGTTTGAGTCAAACCCACTGATTTTGGGTTGAAAATAATGTTTCATTTGAATTGAAATGCTCTGGTTTTGCTTGTATCTACAGATATAGGAAATCTGGAAGCAGAGGACTAGATTCACAAGAATGAATTGCCTCAAAGAAGTAAGACATTCTATATCAAGAGAGTAGGTCAGAAATCCTGGATTTATAGAGACCCAAATTCCAGTCCTCCCTCTGTCTCACTTGGAGGAGGAACTTTGAATTTCTGTGTCTGAGTACTGTGTTATAACAGCTTGAGCCATTCCATTCTGTATGATAAATATTCACTAAGCTGGAGAAAATTCCTGGATATTTGGGGTTTTAGAGAATACCTTGGTTCTTCATCCAGTATTGCATAACTGCCTTAACTGAGGAAAGGCTGAGGCAGACCCATACCAGAGTATTCTGTGCTAGAGGTTCTGCTTAGGCAGTGACTCCAAATATGTGCTGCTTTTAATGGTTTATTTCAAAACTATCACGAGGCATCCAGTATGTATGGTAGTAGGACTATGTAGGAGAATTTTGAAACACTTCTCCATAATCAAGGCAAAGCTCTCTTTTCATACTGTAAAAATAAAGCATATTTCTTCAGTGCTTGTGCCTAAATATCTTTATAGAATTACCAAAAATTTATTTCAGTTCTTATATTGTTGCTACCATTTTCTTATGTAAAAAGACCTGAAAATATTTTTCAGGTTGATATCAAGAATAGAGAGTCTCATTTATCCATTTATTTACTGTGAAACTCTCAGGAAACTGCTAGGTAAGGCTTGACATAATAGGAGATGGAAGAAGTGAGCCTTCTTTCATGCAGTTCATTTTCACTCAAACTGGTATGCAAGGTGCCCAGCCAAACAGAATAGCGTGTGGTTCCCCGTAGTCTCCACTGGGTTTTAAGAAAGCTTCCATTCCAGTTGTCTTTCAGTCTCCTTATTTGAGATTAT